TGTGTAAAAAAGCGTCTGTGTGTAAAAGTGTTTGTGTCTCAAAGCGTCTGTGTGTCAAAGCGTCTGTGTGTAAAAGCGTCTGTGTGTAAAAGTGTTTGTGTGTAAAAGTGTTTGTGTGTAAAAGCCTCTGTGTGTAAAAGCGTCTGTGTGTAAAAGTGTCTGTGTGTAAAAGTGTCTGTGTGTAAAAGCGTCTGTGTGTAAAAGCGTCTGTGTGTAAAAGCCTCTGTGAAATAGCCTCTGTGTGTGAAAGTGTGTGTGTGTGTAAGTGTGTGTGTGTGTAAAAGCGTCTGTGTGTAAAAAGCCTCTGTGTGTGAAAGTGTTTTTGTGTAAACGCGTCTGTGTGTAAAAGTTTCTGTGTGTAAAAGCGTCTGTGTGTAAAAGGGTCTATGTCTAAAAGTGTGTGTGTATCAGCGTCTGTGTGTAAAATCGTCTGTGCGTAAAAGCCTCTGTGTGTAAAAGCGCCTGTGTGTAAAAGCTTCTGTGTGTAAAAGCCTCTGTGTGTAAAAGCTTCTGTGTGTAAAAGCGTTTGTTGTGTAAAGCGTCTGTGTGTAAAGCTTCTTCCTGTGTGTAAAAGGCACCTGCGTGTAAAAGCCCTGTGTTAAAATCGTCTGTGTGTAAAAGTGTCTGTGTGTAAAAGCGTCTGTGTGTAAAAGCGTCTGTGTGTGAAAGTGTCTGTGTGTAAAAGTGTCTGTGTGTAAAAGCTTCTGTGTATAAAAGCCTCTGTGTGTAAAAGCTTCTGTGTGTAAAAGCCTCTGTGTGTAAAAGTGTTGTGTGTAAAAGCGTCTGTGTGTAAAAGGGTCTGTGTGTAAAAGGGTCTGTGTGTAAACGCGTCTGTGAAAGTCTTTGCGTGTAAAAGCATCTGCCTGTAAAAGCGCCTGTGTATAAAAGCGTCTGCGTGTAAAAGTGTCTGTGTGTAAAAGCGTCTGTGTGTAAAAGCCTCTGTGTGTAAACGCGTCTGTGTGTGTGTGTAAAAGCGTCTGTGTGTAAAGGAGTCTGTGTGTAAAAGCGTCTTTGTGTAAAAGCGTCTGTGTAAAAGCCTCTGTGTAAAAGCCTCTGTGTGTGAAAGTGTTTGTGTGTAAAAGCTTCTGTGTGTAAAAGCCTGTGTGTGTGAAAATTGTGTGTAAAAGCGTCTGTGTGTAAAAGCGTCTGTGTGTAAAAGCGTCTGTGTGTAAAAGCGTCTGTGTGTAAATGCGTCTGTGTGTAACAGCTTCTGTGCAAAAGCGTCTGCGTGTGAAAAACAATACGAAGGATAGGATGCAAACTAGTGTTTTGTACTTGTAATATATTGTCTTGATACTACTTGTCTCGCCTGCCTAAAATACATCTTTAATATATTGTCTTGCAATATAGTGTCTCAATACTAACAACAGAAGACCCTGCTCTCTCTCTCTCCCTCTTTCTCTCTCTCTCCCTCTCTCTCTCTCTCTCTCTCCCCCTCTCTCTCTCTCTATCTCTCTCTCTCTCTCTCTCTCTCTCCCTCCCTTTCTCTCTATCTATGTCTCTCTGTGGTTGCAAGACACGTGTCATATGATGCCCTTTACCAAGCAGCACAGTGCATATGCATGGGTTGTCACATGTATCCTCTTCTTAATCAATCTTACTTTTCACAACTTACCCCTCCATAGCTCATATAAAATTCACCAACCTATCACCGACTATTTTTTACGACTACCATACTCAGAGCTGCTTGAAAAACGGCTTTTTCGCTCTCGGGCCAACCGTCGTCTAGTTTGTTCGTTCTGCGTTTGTTGGTGCACTTTTGAGAAGTGTAAAAGAGAACACGCCCAATGTGGATGCGGATTGGGGTGATGCAGCTCTAGCTGGCAATGTCTCGAAATTCACAACCCTCCCCCAATCGAGGGGTTAATTAGCTTCCAGTAGGCCAACATGGACATGGAATTCCATGCAACCCACCATTTGTAGATCATTCTTGGTCTCCGAGCACATAGCAACCTTGGATTTAGAAGGCGTTTTGTTAGTTTGTATAGTGGAGGGCATCACTGATGTCATAAACATCGCCATTTGACTTGGATGTGCGTCCCCGGGGCCTACATTGGTTAGTAATTGTGATATATAACATGATTTATGCCACAATTAGATTGTGAGTAATAAGTTATAGCACATTTACTAAACGGGTCCTGCACCCCCAAGTAGGGCATCCTGCCCCATAAACTGAGTCCAACGTAGGAACTTAGGAGCCTTTTTGGTTCCGAAGTGGGTACCCCAAAATGCGATCGCTTACTAGCTCAAACGGCCCAAAATAGCCCGTTGCCCACAATGCATTCTATTGTAACCATACCAACTGGATGTGCATTTAAGTTGGTACGTGCTTAATCATCATGGTTATACGGAGTTATACGTGTAGTTCAATTGTTTGTCTTGGGGAAACAGGAGAAACCAAAAGAGGGACCAATCATCCACTCATGTTTGTTTGATAGCCATGTGGTACCAGTAGTACCGCACAAGGCGGTGGCGGAAGTTTCAAAAATAGGAAACCTATAGGAGAGATTGGTTGTTGTGAATCAGGGATGGCAGAGCGAATCCACTGATGGACCGAAAGGTGCTTGAGGTCTCCTCTCTTTCTCTCTCTTTCTCTGACTATCTACCTACCTACATATCTATCTTCTATGCATCTATCTATCTATCGATCTATCTATCTCTCTCTCTCTTTCATCTAATTACCTATCTATCTATCTGTCTACCTATCTATCTATCTATCTCTCTCTCTCTCCCTCTCTTTCATCTGTCTATCTGTCTAGCTGTCTACCTGTTTATATTCCATCTAATCTATCCTATCTATCCTATCTATTCTATCTATCCTATCTATCCTATCTATCCTATCTATCCTATCTATCCTATCTATCCATCTATCCTATCTATCCTATCTATCCTATCTATCCTATCTATCCTATCTATCCTATCTATCCTATCTATCCTATCTATCCTATCTATCCTATCTATCCTATCTTTCCTATCTATCCTATCTATCCTATCTATCCTATCTATCCTATCTATCCTATCTCTCCTATCTCTCCTATCTCTCCTATCTATCCTATCTATCCTATCTATCCTATCTATCCTATCTATCCTATCTATCCTATCTATCCTATCTATCCTATCTATCCTATCTATCCAATCTATCCTATCTATCCTATCTATCCTATCTATCCTATCTATCCTATCTATCCTATCTATCCTATCTATCCTATCTATCCTATCTATCCTATCTATCCTATCTATCCTATCTATCCTATCTATCCTATCTATCCTATCTATCCTATCTATCCTTCTATCCTATCTATCCTTCTATCCTATCTATCCTATCTATCCTATCTATCCTATCTATCCTATCTATCCTATCTATCCTATCTATCCTATCTATCCTATCTATCCTATCTATCCTATCTATCCTATCTATCTATCTATCCTATCTATCTATCTATCTATCTATCTGCCTATCCGTCTACCTGTCTATCTGTGGTGCAGTGTCATTCAGTGTAATGTAGTGTAGTGTAATGTAGTGTAGTGGAGTCTAGTGGAATGTAGTGTAGTGGAATGTAGTGTAGTGTAGTGTAATTTAGTGTAGTGGAGTGTAGTGGAGTGTGCTGTAGTGTAGTGTAATTTAGTGTAGTGGAGTGTAGTGGAGTGTAGGTGTGTAGTCGTAGTTGTAGTTGTAGTGTAGTGGAGTGTTGTGTAATGTAGTGAAGCGTAGTGGAGGGTAGTGTAGTGTAATGTAGTGTAGTTTAATGTAATTTAGTATAGCGGAGTGTAGTGGAGTGTAGTGGAGTGTAGTGGAGTGTAGTGGAGTGCAGTGGAGTGCAGTGGAGTGTAGTGGAGTTGTGTAGTTGTAGTTATAGTTGAAGTGTAGTGGAGTGTAGTGTAGTGTGATGTAGTGAAGTGTAATGGAAGGTAGTGTAGTGTAGTGTAGTGTAATGTAGTGAAGTCTAGTGGAAGGTAGTGTAGTGTAGTGTAGTGTAGTGGAGTGTAGTTGTGTAGTAGTAGTTGTAGTTGTAGTGTAGTGTATTGTAATGTAGTGAAGTCTAGTGGAAGGTAGTGTAGTGTAGTGTAATGTAGTGTAGTGTAGTGTAGTGGAGTGTAGTGTAATGTGGTGTAGTGTAGTGTAATTTAGTGTAGTGGAGTATAGTGGAGTGTAGTTGTGCAGTTGTAGTTGTAGTGTTGTGTAGTGTAGTGTGGTGTAGTGGAGTGTAGTGTATTGGAGTGTAGTGTAATGTAGTGTAGTGTACTGAAGCGAAGCGAAGCGACATCTGAACCTCAAAAAGTGGTCCGAACCCCTGGTGTTTTTTAACATGTTGACTTCGACATGTGCGTCGCGCCACAACGGCTTGCACTTTTTCGACATCCGAACCTCCAAAAGTGGTCCGACTTCGAAATGTGCTTCGCGCCACACAGGCGTGCACTTTTTCGACATCGGAACTTCCAAAAGTGGTCCGAACCTGGCGTGCTTTCTACATTTTGACTTCGAAATGTGCTTCGCACCACAACGGCGTGCACTTTTTCGACATCTCAACTGCCAAAAGTGGTCCGGAGCTGGTGTGTTTTGTACATTTTGACTTGGAAATGTGCTTCGCGCCGCAACGGCGTGCACTTTTTCGACATCGCAACTGTGGACACTGAGGTGTTTTGTACATTTTGACTTCGAAATGTGCTTCGCGCCACAGCGGCGTGCACTTTTTCATCTCTCATCTGGCCAGCTGGCTCCGCACCCGCCGCTTTAGCGAGCCTACTTTTCGACCCTCCGGAGCCACAAATCATTGGGAAAACATAGTGGTTCGTGACTTTCCTACCTTTTCGCGCATCTGCATCTTCTTTCTCCTGACTCTTTTTCTTCTACTCTTCTCTCTTCTAATCTTTCTCTTCTCTCTGCCTCTGCCCTACTTTGCTTTTCATCTGTCCATATTGTCGGAAGTTTGACTTCTAAACTTCCTTCGATCATTTTGTTTCAAACAGGTATTTGATAATGGCTATAGGCTATAATATACATATATTTTTATGTATGACTATATGGCTATATCAAAATTGGTTGTCATTTTCCACCTGGTTGTATAATTTTGTTACAAGATATAGGTGGTTATTCATATAAGAATTTTCATCTGCCTATGAAATGAGATTCGCGGCTGAGCTCCTTTTTTTTCCACGCAGGTGAGAAGTTCGATCTGAAACGCTGCGGGACTGAAGTACGGACGAAAGCCTTTTGGCTGTAAAGAGGCGCCAGTATGGTAAGATATCATCAGAATTCATATGAAATAGCCATATGTTTAAGGTCAGCACGCTGCTGGAGTATGTATAATATGAACCTATTTAAATTGAAGAGAGAGCCCATGATCTGGATTGAACCACTGAACCCTGGGGTTTCGCTTCGACCAAGCCGATTTGCGAACCCTGGAAAGCTTGGCCTTCGCTGAATAAACTGATGTCTTGTGCAGGTCACCAGGATGATAGAGAGAGAGGGAGAGAGAGCTACAATTCATATCAATTCATCATAATTGATCCTGATGGGTGTGTGTGGGATTGGGTTGGATCTTTTGATTCATTCAGTTTGTATTTTGATGCGTTTCATGGGGGCTGCACAAGGTTTCACTGTCTCATTTGCACTGCTTTTTGAAGCCACCATGGCATCGAACATATGCACTGCTTTTTGCAGCCACCATGGCATCGAACGGCGGTATGGGAGCATGCATCAGTGAATCGGTATGAGGCGTAATTGTTAAGTAAGATTTGGGCCCTGCTTGCAGTTTCCAGTTTTCTGCGTTGGTTTCTTTTAGTTAGCCATCGATGTGTCTTTAGAGTCCAATTTTGGGGGCAGGCACGTGTTGAATTTCAACCACACATTACTGTAAGCTCTGGTTGGTCCTCGGGGATTGTTCACGCTTGACATTCAAGGTTGCACTCTTGACATTCAAGGTGGGATACTGTTACATAGATACTGTACCTACAGATGCCCACAGAAACGCTTTGGGAGCTGTCGGAAAGTTATTCAAAAGGCTGAAGCGAAATTAGTGAAATGGATTGAAATGGTAGGTGAGGGATTTTGTGAGTTGGATTGTCTTCCTCATCTCACGATGCCATTTCGATGCCTTCCGATCATCCATGCCCTAGTCCTGAGGAAGTTTTTCTTGGACAACCTTGGATATTTCGTTACAAGATGCTGCAAGACTAAAGCTCAAGAAGTTTGGATCATTTTGGAGCAATGATATATTGCCATGATCAACCGACAAAATTACGACTTACAAAACTTATTAAACACCAGCTGGGGACGGACATGTGTTGGAAGCTAGCCATTGTATAACTAGATACACATATCACGGGGCGGAAGTTTCGAAAACATGATTGTTTATAGGAAATCAATGACCTATAGGAAAGTTTATGCGGTGCAGAAGCAATGAAGTGTTGAAGTTACGAGGTGCATCAACGAATGAGCAAATGGCTGTTGAGATGCCAATGAAATGAAACGAAAGGAAATTAAATGAAAGAACCTGTGCACAACTGAGTGAATGAACCACTGAACCAATGAACTGATGAACCAATGACGCAA